TCAGCCTTTGTAATATGTCAGCTATTTTTGAGCAGTTAATGAAACTCATTACATAGCTTCCAGTGTGGATAGTGTTTAAAACCATGGTATTTTAACTTTTATGACAAGCAAGTCTGAAATTGAAGCCTGAGAAATATTCTCTCACATAAACATTTGTAGAGTTAGTAGGTATAGAGTTTTTACAGATCTTGCTAAATTAAAAGCAGTGGTAGATTGATCTGAACCTTCAAACAAAAAAGAAAGTCTGAGGTTTCCTTGGCTTTGTGTCATATTACAGATAATTTATTTCAACTTTTTAACACCACCAGCACTTGGTTTTCCAGTCTTAACTTATCCAAAAAAGATGTATTTCATTAAACTTGGATACAAATACTAGCAACAGTAGAATCAGAGTAGCACTACCACAAATGCAGGAAAGTGTGGAAATGTGATATGAGGGCATATCATGTTTTCTACCTTCTATATAAAAATCTTCAACATTTTTAATCATTTAGCACCACACTGTCAAGGTGGCAACGTGTAGTCATTAACTTTACCTTGTTTTAGTTACTTTGTTCTCTTGAGTAGGGGACATCTTCTGTGCCTGCAAGGATATTATTTCATTATTGGATGGAGCATCCAGATTGAACAGGTAGACACTGGGATATCCTTTACTAGCCTGTTATTATATTGACTAAAAGTGACACCTGACCAGTGTTGTAAGGGAACACAGGTTACAAGGTAATGCTGTCCACTGGACGAAGAAAGTAAGTTTACATTGTAGATTTGAACACACTTTCTTAGTTCAGTTCTCCACTAAATATTCAACAGAGAGGATCTGCTTCATCCTGAATCATTGTGTTTGGTTCTGCTGTAGATGATTCTGTGAGAAAAAGGCATCATAGATTAAATGCAACCTAGAATACAAAGGGCTGTCTGCTGTCAGTATGGATACCTGCACTACATTTTCTATTCATTTGTGAAAATAAAGATTTTTTACATTTATTCCGAGATTGTCCAGACTCATTATTTTTCACAAAAGGAAGATTCAATCAAATTATATCACAAGAAACTCATAAATTCCTGAGTAAACTCTGCTGTTATTGCGGACTTATCTATCTAATACTTTTCTGAAAATAATTTCACCCACGAATACCACAGAAATAATACTACCATGAAGTCTAAAGTCTCAGACATGACACTGAATTACAAATAGTGAAGATCCTGATGATGAATGGATACCAAATACACAAAGAGAAAAGCTGTAAAAAAAAAAGCAATTAAAGGGCCCAGATCGAACTTTGGCAGTACTTGACCTACAGCAAGATGAAGCATGAACTGTCATTGATTGATGAACGAAGTACTGAAGCACATAACCACTGGCAAGTATTCCAAACGAAGGAGTAAAATTCCTTGTTGATATAGGAGCCATCAAAATGCTGTTTGTCCTTTCACTGTACCATGCACCCCCAGTGAATTCACCACTTTGGCCAATCAATACAGATTTTGTTCAGGTGAAGTGTGGTCAGCCAGACCTGAATAAAGAGGCACATCTCGATTCAAGTAGTAGGGGATGGATTTACTGTGGAAGTTGTCAGCCAATTTTATCTGAGCAATAAGTAAACAACATCCAGTGCTGGTCTAAGAACAGCGGATTGCATGTTGAAGAAGGATTCACAATATCCCCAAATTCACAATAATTTTTGTTTACTCTGGAAGTACTGTTAATTCAGTTGTTTTATTATTTTGTCATTTGCATTGGTTTTAAGATTCAAAGTTAGTGGTGGCGAGGCTGGCTCGAAGATAAATGGAATGAGGGTGTGATATTTTGAATATTTTCTTTCTCTTTCAGCTCAGAAGGGTGAAAAAGATTTAATTTACCAAGATTCTGGAACATGTATTGGACATGCACTTAAATTTACAATGATATGTTGTGATCTTATTCTTATACTCGTCACACAATGTCATAGATCATTCTCCCATAGTATTACTGAACATTCCCACTAAAGGTATTGCTAAAGAATTCACTGGATTTTCTAATGGGACCAGTCATGTACAGGTTAAGGAATGCCTGGAGGGTATGTCTGTGTGCGATTTTTTATTATGGAATGGCCAAGGATGTGGATGGCCAGCGCACTTTGAGGAGATTGAACCTATTGTATAATTACACAGTAGTTATTTCTATCAGTTTATTTCTGGACGAATTTTGACAGATCTCTTTCCATTTAAATAGTGCTGCGTTAGGGCTCTGTGCACTCGTTCTGCATTGGGTTGTATATATAGATAAATTTGGAAGACTTGCCATAAGAAGGAAATCAATAAAATAAACCTGTTATTAAAACATTCCTGATATTTATTTTCCTGTTAATTTTCAAGTAGATACAAGTTTTATTCTGTATTAAAATCAACGTTGATAAAAGGATACAAATAAAATGGGAAATAATAACAACAAGAAAATGTAGCGTTGTTCACAATTTTATCGATATGCTGTACTGTATAACTATAACATAGAGTGGAGGTCCCAAATATTATTACACTTCATGAAACATGGTTCACGTTTCGTTATGAAACTAAGAGGCGGCGTATTCATAGTGTATATATATTGTACAACTTACATCTACGTACGTCATGAAAAAATACACCTATAATATTACATGATAGATTTGGGAAAGAAACTTTCCTCTGTTAATTAAGAAAAGTTTTCAGTTTATTGTCTAATCAGGCTTGTTATCAAATATTCGTTCCAAAGTCTTGATTATAAGTGCTTCTTCTCCCCTTTTTCCTCTTCTTTGAACTAAGCCTACCGCCATCACGGCGATAACGTGGTTCTTCACGTGTTGATACCTGTTTGTAAACAGGATCAACAACACGAGTGTTGCGATAACGCATGTCCTCTCGTTGCTGTGCAAGGCCGTACCTCGTGTCATAGCCCCGAGAGGTGCGGTACTGTGGGTCGTCATACGAAGAGGCCATATCATAGGTGAAACCGCTTGAACGAGCATTACGATATCGGGGATCTCCTCGTATTGGACTTACACTGTACGAAGGGTCGCTGAGGCCATGGTAAAATCTTCTCTCGTCTATTTCAGGTATTGTATCACTGTAGCGGTAGTGTGGGTCTGTTCTTGCAGGAGGAGCACTGTAAACTGGATCAGTGGCACGGGTAGGACGATACCTTTGCTCTGCTGTAGGTGGTAAGACGTCACTAGCACGGGAGTATCTGTATGTGGGGTCTTCACTTAGTTGTGCTGAATTAACAGTTTCTCCTGTGCGTGAAAATGGTGATGAAGGTCCACTGAGGGTTGTGGGGTACGGACAGTTTTCGATAGCACTAGAGTAAGGGTCTGCTGCTCGAGCCTGACAAAATAAAAAATAACTTCACGTGTTGTAGGTGTTTTTAGTTTTAACAGAAAAAGTCCAGTCCGTTCAGCTCAATAATTTTGATAGAAAATCGTGTTCAATACACTATTCTTTCTGATAAAAGTCAGCGGAAAGTTTAAGGACTTGCAACGCTAAAACCAGGGATTCGATTCCCGCGGTGGACACAGTAGATAGTCAATGTGACTTTGCTCTAAAACAAACAAAGTCACGAGAAAGTTCTGTAGCTTAATACGTTGTTTCTAATTTAATAATAACACGAGGACTAAAGATGAATGCCAAGGCAGTCTTCCAGAGAAAGCTGACTATAACGCTATATCAACAAGATTCTACCCAACCTCAACATATTAACTTCCGAGTCTGTGTAGCTACAAGTTCAGTTTGTTTGTTTTTCTCCCTGAAACGTGGTATTATCAGAAGGTGGCTTAGAAAAATTCGAAAGCTAGCGAAAACCAATCGAAGGTAGGAATATTTCAATACTTTAACGTAAATATTTTGTTTAATGGGTTTTTTATTAAGGTTCCTTTTGAATTCAGATAGAGTGACTTCGTGCGAGAAAAAGAAGAGAAAATTGATTTTATTTTATGACATTTCAGGCTTATTAACTTTTTTCAGTCACTTGTGTTACAATATTTTTAATTAGTCGCTTTGTTTCCTGGTAAATTCCTGATGAAAAACGCATATACACTTCTTGTTTTTCACAATATCTTTCATCAAAATTAATATAAAAAAGTGAATGGGTTACTGATCTTTTCTCTCCTCGCTTGAACACTTGTTAAGAAAGAAAAAAGTTTGGATTTGTCTTTTGTTAATATTCGCGCACGGTTATACAAGGACTATTTGCGCAAGCCATCCCCAATTTCGAAAGGATAGAGGTAGACAGCTACTCAACAGCACCCATCGCCAACTCTTCGGATACTCTAATCAAATAATGGGATTTCATCGCCACTCTTATAACGCACACACGCCCCTAAAATTCGAAACATCATTTTGCAACAACTGAACACAAATTGTGGAAGATGACATCAACAGTTGGGCACGATGTTAACGACTCGGCCATGCCCGATCAAAAAGGTTCGGATAAAGAATTTTCGTACACCCGTCCTCGAAACCTAGAGGCTTTGTTGGTTTATTTCGTTTTACTAAAATACAACTCGGACTCTTTCATTTTTTACTGGCCATGTAATTCCCATTTAATTTATTATGCGTTCAAAAGTTTGTGACTATCGATAAGATACTTGTACTCAGGCTTATAAAATTGAATGTAAGGATTAGTTTTGAGAATAATAGATACTTTCATTAGTCACTAGGAAAACTATTGACAAAGAAAAAAACAAGTGAATGCTACCACTACCCATCTGTTATTTTCTAAACTTGATATGAGAATAAGTTTCAATTACATCTACATATTAATTGGGAAATAATGTAATGGTATAGTTATGACAAACGTCAAATTTTATGTGATATACCAATAAAAAACTTCAAAAAAAGCATACTCACCTGGGATACTTCTTCATGATATGACTGCTGCTGAAAGAAAATAAACACAACTTCAGAGAAAACGGAGGATACTACATGCGTACGGGGTGATTCAGTTATTTCATTTAAATATAACAATAATTCAGGAATGGAAAGATGAAGAACGTAATTTTTAGTTTTATGGAATGAGACGCTATGGGTCAACCCTCTGACTATATCACTGAGGTCATTCTAGGTCATGTTCTTTGGAAATTGTATTAATACGCATCATATAACCAAAATGTTAAGGTGTAGACCACAAATTAAACATTTTAAATCAAAAATCGCTCCTCAAGAACAACAGTTAAAGGCATAAACGCACTCTTCTATACATATGAAGTTGTGCTATAGAAGACTGAAATCTGACTGTAGTAAAGGTTGTTATACAAACCTTGGTTTTAGGTGCAAGGTCAGAATTTTGAATAAGCAAGTCACTGCACCTTTGAAGAGTCCATAAGGTTCAAAGATGTTAAAATAAAAACTTCTTAAACAATGTAGCACCGTGCTACAGCAGCTACCAAATCATTAAAATAATATCACAATATTCAGTTGAAGAAGTGTTTAACATGGTCCTACTGTAAGAAGACTATCAGCAAGATAAATGTATTTTATTGCTGGTTTAGAAACCAAAACCAGAAAATAAAATATAAATAATTAAGAAAATTAATTTTAAAAGTTTACTACATAAGCTAGGCCTAATATTATTAATGAATCAAGGCTTGTGCTACTAAAAATATTTTGAGGTTTTTCTAACTATTGTTGCTTTAAGGTTTTTAGTTCTTACACTGAAATATATTTGGTTTGGTTATTAGCACAAGCTACGCGATGATACTCCAAACCTGAATCTCGGCGTCGTAAACCTACAGGACTTACTGCTGAGCCACTGCATGGAGGGGAAGGGGGTATATTTGCATTGGTATCTAAAATAATGTAGTTCATAAAGTCATTTATCTCACTTTAATAGTTAAGATTGCACATACAAATAAATTTACAAAGAAAACTGAATTTTCCGGACGGTATTCCGAGTGATTCAGAAATTCATCGACAGGCAAGTAATCCTGAAATGGAGGGGTAGAGGAAAATAATTGTTAGTTGTATGGAATGAGCTGTTGAGGGCCTACCCAGTAAAAAAATATCGTTGGGGTCACTCAGGTCACCGTTCTTCGAAACTTTTACACCATTCATCAAAAATGCAAATTTCAAAGGTGTGAACAATAACAAGTGAAACATTTTAAACCAAAAATTGGCCAAGTCGCTCCACAGCAGTAGTTATAGGCATAGATGTTGATGTTATAACTGTATTACAAGATAATGGCAAACATCAAATTGCAACCCAAAATGTGACAACCTCATTGTCAATATTGGTCGTGTCTACGGTCTGCCCACACGGCTTTATGTGTAAATGAACCTGTAGCACTCGGCCACTGACACAAATTTCCATCACCAGATGTGAAAGATGACGTTCATATATAGAACTGTCCAGCATACAATCTGGCAGTTGGCCAGGCGTTAACGTCATAACCCATCTAATAAATAATACGGGACAGATATCTGTTGTAAACTCGTGTTACACAAACTTTAATTGCGAAGATAATAAAAATGTAATTTATATGTTATAGAATGTTTCGTTCTCTAGGCTAACACATACTTTACACAGTACTTCTTTACAATATTTATACTACCACAGAGGGTTTAGTAAGTTATGATAAAAACAATTTTGAATATATGAATTCACAAGTCACGTGACAACAACAACCGATATAAGAACGAGGTGGGATGGAATGTAGCAAAACTACATTTTGACATTGTTTGGTGGTATGGTGCCACTGAAAATCGATCGTTTTGGGAATGGTATATTACAGCTCTTTCCAATGCAAAATGTTCACACATTCAGATCATAAAGATGTGTTCAAGGTAGGATATTTAGAATTTCCAAGACGGGGGTATCCCTATTACTTAGTGGTATTGAAAACAAAGGAATATGGATCAGCTTAGGAACCCAAGACCATCCAAAAAGATACCTTCAACAAGCCGCAATGAACAACGTCTGGCGTCTTATAACAGGCGAGACTCTACGAACAGAAAGGTCAGCAGCAAAAGCCGTTCACGAGCCATAGTCAACAGTGGGCAACATAACCAAGAAGGACCTCCATCTAGAAAAGTGACACAAGTCAAGCATACACAAGTTGCTTTCATGGCATATCTGTTCCAGTGTCACGTACCTCAAGCAGCTGGAGAATAAATTGGATATTCATGCTATTTCATACGAAAACCTACCAATGAAATCACCAGATGCAATGCATATATGTTTCAGTGTGATAGAACTGTGAAACGAGCGCTAGGAAACTTCGTCTTAGTACACCAGATGGAATATGGAAATCATGCAGAGAGAAGTGTTGTGCTTTTGACATGACAGCTTTATGGCGAAGTGATTTTCAATGGAAACTATATATATATATATTGTTGCTTTAATAAGCTGTAATTTTTTATATTTTCCTTTCTATAATTATGAAATATATACATATATTTGTTAAAACAAATAAATATTGGGTCAACACTAGGGAAAAGTTTAAATATTTAACTTTTAAAAAGACATTATATTTTGTCTGAAAGCTAACTTGATTCTTACATGATCTATAAAATAACAATTTCAAACATTAGTTTAAACTAAAACAACAAAATCCCTGTAAATAAATAAACATTTATGAAAAAACTCAAATGCAAGATAACTTTTGGTTTAGTTGCTTTATTTGATTATTTACACGATTTACTCTGAAGTGATTTAGGTTTTAAGTGCAAAATTTTAACTATAGGACACAAACATTCATATGTGTAGTGAATCTACTAAACTTAACATTATTTACCAAATATATATGTAACTCTAGAATATATATATACCATTTCCATAATTAGTTTAATATGTACAATCTTAATTTACTTCTGACTGATTCTCTGACATTTTCATTTTCGTTGAAACAAAACATTGCAATTTCGATAAAGAAACTTAATAGAATGTCTTACCTGTCGTACTTGGAAGTCTTACTGTGGCATGTTATGTGTTTAAACATGAAAGTCTATAAAAAGTGATCAAATCTTCCCACATCTTGTTGAAATTTAGAATTTTGAAACATAGTTACAGAAGGTGAAAATAGAATTGGGATGTTGAGTAATTCTACTTGTAGCCACTAAAAGCCTAGTCAGACATATTTTCCGTCTAACATCAACGTATTATATGATGAATCACGATAAATTGTGTTCGTTTAGTTATTCTTTACCAAACCGTTTTAGTATTTTGACTGAAGTGAGATACATTTTAGAGCTATTCTTCAAACAAAAATAAATAGTTTGGTTCGAGAGTAAACGCTTTTCAGTATACGCAGCCAAATAAATAAACACTTCTATAGGCTGCAGTTATGTATATTCAGAGGGTTCAGTAAGTTATATTAAAACGATTTTGAATATGCAAATCACGTGGCAACCATACCCGATATAGTGTCTTGGTGTAACAGTACGTAATAGAGAGACATTTTAAATTGTCTCGTGTTTCGTAGGTAGTGTGATGCCACCAAAAGTTTATCGCTTTTGGGAAGAGTATGTAACAGCCTTTTCCAACACAAAATCTTCATATACTCAGATCATAAAGATGTATTCAGATCAGGGATTTGGAATTTCCAAGACGAGAATATCTCTTTCAGTTAATGGTATTGGAAAAAAAAAAGGATCAACTTGGGGCACCAGGACATCTAGAAAGAAGTCTTTGACAAGTTTTACCCCACCCGTGGTAAGCAGAATGCGGTATCTTTTAACAGGTAGGAATTCACGAATACAGAAGTCAGTGACAAATGCCGTCGACGAGCCCCAGATAACAGTACGTAATATAACCAAGAAGAAACTCTGTCTGAAAAAGCGACACAAGTCACGTGCACACAAGTTGCTTTTAAGACATATATGTTCGACAATAACATACCACAAGCAACTATAGATTAGCCAGACACCATGCATATGGATTTTCATGTAATCGGACTATTAAAATGGGCACTGAGAAACTGTTGTCCTCATACACTACCTATATTATGGAAAGCAAGCACGGAGCATTAGTGTGTTTTTAACGCGACAAGCCTTATGACGGAGCCTTTTGGGATAGAAACTTTACTGCAAGGACATTATCAAGATGCACGGCCGTCAGAGGGGGCAAACAAAACGTGGCGACATGGTGAAGCTCCAAAATGGTTTGGTGGGGATTGTTTGAAATTAAGCATAAAGCTACACAACGGGCTATCTGTGCTCTGCCCAACATGGGTATCAAAACCCGGTTTTTAGCATTGGAAGTCCGCAGACATTCCGCTGTGCCACTAGGGCGTATCTACAAAATTATTTTATTACAACGTACTCAACCTCTGTAGTGTAAAACATGGATGAAATACCATTCCTGTTCCACGTGTATCACGAAACAGCTTCTATTTCTGAAGTTGTATTTAAATTAAGTAATTTACCAGTTTAACTGATACTGTTTTATAATCAATCATTCACACTCATGAAAGGTAAAACTACTGTCATTTTTGTTTAATCCTCAGTAGCTTGGAAACGTACACATATATCTGTACACATAACAAGACATTCGTAACTACATAATAAACTTTATTTAAAACTTTGGGTTTCAAAGTTGGTAACGATAGGCACGGAACTTCTTAAATTACAAATATCTTAAATGCCACACTATCGTCTTGGAAATGTTTGGTCCATTACAATTTGTGCCATCATCTGACAAACTATGGTACTGCTTGTATAAGACTGATAACTTTTCCCGCATAGAAAAAAAAACAACAAAAAAAAACGTGCTTCTTTACGATTAACAGTTTTGGGATTATTTAAATCAAACAGGCCCCCACAAAGGGGATTCCATTTCGATTAGATATTAAAAACCTCCAATAGACAACGCTTTAACATACACTTCTGATCCTCAAGATGATAGTCTGTCTTTAAATACAGAAACATTAATAGTCAACAACTAA